AAAAATAAAAGAAAAATAAAGAAAAAGAACAAATCATGTCAACATCAGGAAGAAACCATAAAGCAGAACAAATGTTTGCAGAAGCAAATACTCTCCAAAATAAATGGTCGTTTTTCAATAAGGAAGCGAACATGACTGACGCAGCAGAATTATTTAATAAGGCTGCTAATTTATTTAAGGCTAGTGAAGAATATGACAGAGCAGCAGAGGCATATAACCGTGCATATTTATTGTCAACAAAATTAGGGGATAATTCAAGTGCAAATAAGGCAGCATTAAACAAAGCATTATGTTTATCAAAAGGAGCACATCCAGAAGATGCAATTGCACCACTTGAAAATGTTGTTGAGAATTATATAACTAATGGATCATTTTCACAAGCAGCAAAAACAGAACAAGAGATTGCAAAGTTGTATGAAAGTATGAAAAAATATGATAAAGCTTCTGAGGCATATAAAACAGCAGCTGGGCATTATGAAATGGATAATAGACCAGCATCTGCATTGCCATTTAAAATTTCAGCAGCTAAGCTTGATGCATTAAGTGGACAATTATTGAATGCATTTGAAACATTTGATAAGATAGGGATGGATGCACTCAATTCTGGAGCACTTCGATTTGGAGCAAAAGAACATTTTGTTAATGCGATTATCTGCCAAATTGCTAATGACGATGAAATTGGAGCAGAAAAGTCAGTTGAAAAATATAAAACAATTGACCCGTCAATTTCTTCAGAAAGGGATTATAAGACTATGAGTGATATTATTGAATCAGTTAAACAAATGGACGCAGAGAAATTTAAAGGAGTCATAGCAGGATATGCTCAAATGAAACAAGTTGATGAATTTAGAAAACAAATGTTTGATATCATCAAACAAAAGTTAGAAGATAATGCCAATGCTGGGTTACTTTAAGAAGAACGATTCATTTTGAAAAATTTATTGTTTTTATATCACTTTTTAATAAATCAGATAAAACAACCTGAAAGAAAGAACTATAAATACATTTAATGATGTCTGAGTATAAGTACAATATTCAATACAATAACATTGTTCAAGAAGCAAAAACATTTTTGAGTAATAATTATTATTCACCATTACATGAAATTATTAGATATGAAAATAAAGGAAAAGATATTACTCCATTAAAGGAAGAGTGTGTATGGTTTTATCAATCAAACTTTAGACTACTTGAAAAATATGGTAATTTTTATGACGATGATTACAAAGACCTTGTTTGTTTTATTATTGAAAAATCAATTGATAAAGAATATAAACTACTTCAACAAGACCAACGAATGAACGACAATAATCGTCGACTTGCTATTCAAACATGGATTGGAAGAATACAAAGAGATCAAGAAGAACCAAACAATTCCCAATCAAAAGATCTTTTTATTGTCACAACAATATGTCTTATTCCTTATCTAACCGATTCAGAATTAAAAATGATAATGAGAATATTGAAGAAATACGATAAGATTCTTGCACAAATTGTTTATTTTATTATTAGTTACAATTTTATTGATTGTTTTGACCAAAAGAAACATTTCCGAATGACAAAACAAGAAATAGAACGACTTAAAGTTGAGATTGTATCTCTGGTTGATATTGACCAATTAATGGTTCATAAGAATGAAGAAACAAGAAATTGGATTAAAGCAGCAATAACAAAAGTTCAAGGATTATCAGTAACAGAATGTCCAAAGAGTGTTAAAGAATATATTCTTTTATATGATGGAATTGATTTTAATTGTATTAGTAAAGGATGTAAAAAATTAATTACAGTGAGAATGTCTAATCTATCTCATGGATTTATTAAATTAACGTCAAAATTCAAAGCAAGTCATCCATCATTTGAGATTAGTCCATCTGAACAACAACCAGTCGGAACAGTCATTACTTATGATTTCTACGAATTAATTCAAAAATATAAAAATGATTCTGTGTGGCTGAAATATCTTGTAACATTACCATACCAATTTTATAAAGAAGGACTTGAAATAAATGGAAATGAAATTAAAGAATTGTTTACATCAATTCCTATTGCACCACTCCTAGTTTCTAATAAGAAAGAGAAAATAAATAATAAAGAATATCCAACAGTATATAATATCAATGTATGGGATGAAACAAATAATGATATTAGAAAAATTATAGAATGGTCAGAAACAGAAATGTATGTTTTTATCAGAACAATAAAACTATATTTTGAAATGTTCATTGATAATACAAGTCAATTATGTACAATGAATGATTGCAAAGAATGTATTGTAGATGGATATATACATGATAAAATCGTTAATATTGTAGATGAGACTTTATCAAATTTACTTCAAAATATTTCTTATGACGAAAATATAACCCAACTAAAACAAATTACATCACTCATCACATGGATTTCAGCAAAAGTAGAAACACCAGAATTGGTCAAATATTTAGCTAATCAAGTTACAACTAAAAAATTACCAAAAGATATTTGTACAATTATATTTGATAGTATTGAAGAATATTTCATTCTAAGTAAACAAAAACCTAAATTCCTTGATTTACATATTGATTTAATTAAAGAACTTGATATGATTGGAGAAGAAAATAATAATGGAGGAATTTGTGGAGAAGAATATCCAATGATAACATTTATTCTAATTGCCTTTAAAATGGTTCAATGTAATATTGAACGAAAGAATAATAAAACTCTCTTGTATTATCCAATAGATTTTGATGCAAAAATTTGTTCTTTGATTTCTAAAGGAAGAAAATTAAGAAAAGAACATAGCCTCTTGTTTATTTTACTGATTATAAACTATTGGTTAAACTTAGAAAGAAAGGGTTATATCTCAAAGTATAGAATTCGTCTTGACTTATTCCAGTATTGTGGTGATATACAAACACAAGAGTTGTTTGAAAAGTTAGCTAGTGAACAATATAATCTTGGAACAATCAATGAACTCTTATTTGAAAAGTATCAGCTTCAACCTGACTTACCAAATGATGAAAATGGACTTAGTGAAATGGTTAGAAGAATCATTCAAAAATATCTTCAATTCCATCCGAATGAACTATCCTCAAACAAAACTGTATTAAATGAAGAAAGTTGTTATTATTTTGAGAAAGTAACACCAAATAATGTGGTGAAAAATAATCCAAATGAACAAAGTGATGAGGTTGAAGAAGAAAAAGAAAAAAGAAATGGGAATGAATGGAAGGATGGAATGAAAGAGTTTGAACAAGGAAGTTCATTAGAAGTTTTTTATTCCAAAGAAATAGAGTCTAGTCAGAATAGTTGGGAACTTGCAGGACATCTTGCAAACTATTGTATCCCTCATTTCAAACAAGAATTGATTAAAACTATAGAAGATGAGGTTATTGAAAATAAAGGTGGAGAAAAATGGGAGGAAATGAAAACCACCATTTCACAAATGAAAAAGAGTGAAAAAGTTGATATTTGTCAGGCGATTTATAGTAGGATTGAAGGGATGATGGGGTTAGAAGATAAAAGATGGCTTAGCTCAAATAAAAGAATGATTGTTAAGGAGGGAATTAATGGGTATGTTGTTGGAATGATGTGTTCAAAAATGGAAGAAAAGCAACTCATTAATGAACAAGACATCATATCATTGAGTAAAGTAGTAGGAATGAAAGAGATTGAAACACTCATTTCTCTTTTAATTAGAAAAAGAAGTACAACAATTAATATCAGTAAGTTAATTGAATCAACAATGTTAATGGAAAATGGTATTGGAAAGAGATTGAGGGAACTAGCTATTGAATGGCTAAACTCAGAGAAAAGATGGGACGATATTAAAAACTTTATTTATCTTGGGAATGATTTAATCTCAACAATCAATAGTATTAAAGCCAGAAATGATGCTCTTCCAAACCCAACATATTTAAATGAATATCATCGTCATATTAATGAGAGGGTTGAAGAAATAAAAAGCATACGTAGTGATGTTCTTGGGAATATTAAGTGGGAAGAGGTAGGTGATGACAAGATAAAAGAGATATTGGAGAATGACATGGATGGAATTAAAGAACTTACCAAAGAACCATATGATGGAATTGAAGTGTTTGTAGAAAAGATCATTGTTAATGTCGATGATCCAACAATGGTGATGATGTGTCTTTGGATAATGATGCTCAAACAGAAAAATATTGGTTCTTCCAATATTCGAAAGATTGAAGAAAATGAAGTGAACAATTCTCACAATGGTATTCAGTGGAATCAAATTAAAGATTTTAGTTTAATTCTTGACCATCTAATAACTATTGGATTCTTCAAAATTAAATGTACAACATTGGAAGGAATTGAACAGATGTTTAATTGGACAAATATGACAAGCAAAAAATATAAAAAAATAGAGAGTCTATTGGTGTCAAATGTAACTTTTCTTAAAAATACAAAGCTTAATCAAATGTTCAATACCTTTACATCAGAAAAACGATCCCAATATCAAAGTGGATGGTTCTTTTAATTTATTCAATAATTCAATACCTTTCTAACTACCTCTTAATATCATTCATTTTTTAACAAGAATAAATGAAAGATTAATCTTAATATTTTAATATATTTTGTATTACTTTTGGATGTATTAGAATATTAATTCACAATGAATTATACTCAATGAGTATCTTTATATTCATTTTATAATACTCTCTTTTATTTATTTCATGATAAATAAACGTATTTATTTTACATTTCATACCTCTTTTCTTGTAACTTTGTTTATACTCTATATCTTGTGTTGTTGTATGATGATTTAGTATTGTAGAAATATTGACATAAATGTTATTGAGGGATGTTATAGTCATTATGAAGAAGCTATTTCATATGATAATTGTTACTTATATCCCTTTTGTAAGAATATTGTAAAGTGTATTAGACTAAGAACAATAATATTGAATAGTTATTTAACTCATTGACTAGAAAAGATGTTTTGTAAGAAAAACTTCTTTTAAAAATATGATTATATTTAAATAAAGTAGTATAGTGTTGTATTTTTCCATGTTATCTCTTATTCTTTTATTTTACTTATGACTACATTTCTCTGAATACTCAAATAGTTTTTATTAGATTTATCCAATAAAATTTTAACATATTCACTAAATGATACTCATTGGGTGTGAATATTTCAAATGAAA